GTGTGTGTGTGTGTTAGTGTGTAGTATAGTGTGTGTTATAGTATATATATATATATATATATGTATATATATATATAATATATATATATATATATATATATATATATAAACATACACGTACACATACACATATACATATACATACACATACATATACACATACACATACACATACACATACACATACACATACACATACACATACACTTACACATACACATACACATACACACACATACACATACACATACACATACACATACACATACACATACACATACACATACACATACACATACACATACACCAACACATACACACACAAATACACGTATACATACACATATACATACACATACACATACACATTATACATTATACGTTCTATATATACATATATATCATACCAGACCAGATCCCAGTCCAGACCCCATGCTCAATGACAGGAAGTCGTCGTCTGCGAGTATTGAGCCGGCGGCTGGTTGTGCTTGCATGGGTGGGGCTGCCATGGCTGTATCGTCGCTCAGATCGAGCAGAAGGTCGTCTATGTTGGGTTGCTGTGCTTGTGGGGATCTGTGCATGGGGTTAGCGGTACATGGAGAAGGGTAGAGGACGCTTAGAAGAGAGAGTTCGAGACTAGCTGGTGCCCTTCGGCGGGGGGGGGGGGGAGGCAATAGGGGGGGGGGGGTAATAGGGGTGTGTAAAAGGGGGGTGCAAAAGAGGGGTGTAATAATGGGGTGTAATAATGGACGAAAAAGTTCAAATGGGTTACATATACTCCTGTGTACTCCAATGGTCATATAGATGGAAGTACTGTAGACTACAGTACAAGCGGTGTGACGGTGTTTGACTGTGTTAGTCGTAACCGCTATGTAGTTGAGGTCACTAATACAAACTCAGCAGAACCCGGTACAGTGACCCTTTAGTATAGACACGGTTAGACTATCACTTCCCCGGGGTGGTAGGGTTTAAAGGTTTCTAGGGTTTAGGGTTTTAACGTTTTCAGGGTTTAGAGTCTAAACCCTCCCCTAAAACCCCCCTAACCCCAGCCCTCACCCACCCCCACAGCTTGACTGATGCCATCGCACATGCCTGGTGTCGGGTGAGGGGTTGCTCTTGCGTGGGCTGTCCGCTCGGCCCTGACTGCAGTCCCATTTGCCGTCGACGATGTCTTCGTACTTGTCCAATGTATTGTCCACTCGCCGGAACACAGGGATAACCCCATCTGCGATCCCAAAACAGACACGGGTGCATGGGGGGGTGAGCCAAACCACGTGCATGGATGTGGAGTGTGTGGTGTTGGGGTAAGGTGTGTGTGGTGGTGTGTAGTCTGCCTTTGGAACTCTACATGCAACTGTAGGGAAATGCTGCATGAATCTACAAACATGTTTGGTAACAGACACTGTATAGAAATGCTGCATTATTCTACAAACATGTTTGGTAACAGACACAGTATGGAAATGCTGCGTGATTCCACATACATGTTTGGTAATAGCCATTATTTGCTAACTGGAATGCGAACTGATGAGGGGGGAAGCACACACGTAAACAAACGAAGTATATGAACAAACATGCGTAAGAAGAAGAAGCAAACACGCAAACAAACGAAGTAAATGAACAAACATGCGTAAGAAGAAGAAGCAAACACGCAAACAAACGAAGTAATTGAACAATCATGCGTAAGAAGAAGAAGCAAACACGTAAACAAACGAAGTAAATGAACAATCATGCGTAAGAAGAAGAAGCAAACACGTAAACAAACGAAGTAAATGAACAATCATGCGTAAGGGGGGGCATGCGACTGTCTAATCCCGTAAATCAATTCTTAACTCTGTTTCCTTTTAATTAACGTGAAGGCTAGAGCAATCATAACCTCTCCTAAACAGAACAGAGAAATCCCCCCAGTTTTTAGGGTTCACATTCCTAAAATCAAAATCACTGTTTTTAGGGTTCACACTTCTAAAACTGGATTCAGTGTTTTTAGGGTTCGCATTTCTGAAATTGAAATCACTGTTTTTAGGGTTCACATTCTTAAAATTGGAATCGAGCGATTGGATAAGAGCCACAGATCCAACAGCGATAGAAGCGAAGCGTAAACTATGTGTAAGTGAGGGTAGGTATAACTATGTGTAAGTGAGGTAGGTATAACTATGTGTAAGTGAGGTAGGTATAACTATGTGTAAGTGAGGTAGGTATAACTATGTGTAAGTGAGGGTAGGTATGTCACTTGCACTTCATACAACGCAACTGTTCACCTCCGCATGTTATATGATATTGCGTGTACTAATGGGCGCCTCAACGATATACCTAGGGCTCTGCCACAGGCTGGTTACCTACCTACGTCTTCATCTTCGTCCATGTCCTGGCACAGTTTTTTAAGCCGTGGTCTCATTTTGTTGAGGAATTGGTACAGCTCTGTCATAATATCATTGTCCTGAATAACAAGCACCCAATAACGAATGGGTTAGTCCTTAAACTCAAGTGAATAAAAAGCATATCACCTGAACAACAAATACCCATCAACAAACGGGTTGGTCCTTAAACTCAACTAGGATTAATATAAAGTGAAAAAATAATTATGTCTCAACTGCAGAACTTCCAACTCACAGGTAAGGGACTCTTCTAATAGTCTGGGCTTTTACTTCCGTTAAATACATGATGATTGTAGTGTAGCTAGTGTAGCTAGTGTAGCGTAGACTACACATACTATCACTAAAGTTATAAATAAAGGCAAGACAACCTACCTAACTATCTAAACTACCCTAACTAACTTAACTACGACTGACCTCCAATGGCCCGTCCGAGGGGTTGTATGAGTCCAGCATCTCGTCAAACAGGTCGATGTTGTTCTGTGCTGTGTCGAGGTCTGCTTTGATCTTCTCACTGGACTCGTCCTCCTCCGGCTCATCAGGGTCGACCATATTCTGGTTTTTTTTGTTGAGTGGGATTCCGAGAATAAAAATCTAGGTTCAAGTATGGCAGCTGTACATATAAACTCGGTTGCTGCCTACAGTACACTATCGACGTATCACGTCAATCGTTCCCCTCTAAAGTCCCTATGTGCAATACAATATCACGTTATCTATATCTTCCGTACAATATCCACGCGTCACATCCCAAGCACCAACCCCACACACCCCACACCGTAATCAGAGCATGTGCACAATTTATTAGGGCATTCACACACCTGAATCAGGGCATTCACACACCTAAATTAGGGCATCTACACACCAAAATTAGGGCATTCCCACACCTAAATTAGGGCATTCACACACCTAAATTAGGGCATTCCCACACCTAAATTAAGCATTCACATACCTAAATTAGGTCATTCACTAACCTAAATTAGGGCATTCTCACGCCTCAATTAAGGCCTTCACTCACCTTAATCAGGGCATTGGCGGCCGCCAAATCATCGGGGTCCTTGGACTGCAGCAGCGTGCGTAGCATGTACTGTTGCTCATTCTCATCGAACGAATCTCTGCGTTTGGGTTTCTTCTCCAGGAACGTGTTGTCGTTGAGTGGTATTGCATCGCTCACGGCGTCGATAGGGAACTCGTGGCCCTGAGCAAAAACAACCCAACAACCCAACCAACCAGACGGAGGAACGAGTCGTAGTAAAGATTAACCTCTCCCACCTCTGACTGTGGGTGAATGGGTGTAGAAATACACGCACGCGCATGCCATACACGTGTGGATGGATGGATGGGTACAGACACGTGTGTGTGCTTGCATATAGCGCGAGTAACTGTGCAGGTTTGCGTGACATCGCATACGCACATCTCGTTGGCGAGGCTAGGGGAAATGGGGGAGATAAAGGGGGGATTCAGATGGGTGATGACATATTATGACTTCGCGAGTGTACATACACTAAAAGAACTAATACCAAATTAGTCACTACATAAATTGAGTTTACGCGAGTATGTCTACACTAACCGACACTGAAAGAACTCGTTCGTGCAGGTGTTTCTTCTATCCATTGGCTCGAACGTATTCAGTAGTGATTGCACATTATGTGTACTTCTCCACTTCAATGTGATGGGGTTTGCTTGTTGGGTCTGCTTGTTATGAGTATCAAAATAATTGTGTGCGTATGAGCATGTCCCGAAGCGTGTGACGATCTTCTCTAGT